GGGCTTGGGATGATGGGTTTATTTATAAGCAATGATAGTACCTTGTGCAATGCATGGGCTTTATTTTTATAATTTTTTTGTATCTTAATGCTAATTTTTATTATTTTGAAAAAATATGCTTTATTAGTTTTTATTGAATTTTTATTATTTTTGTATTATTTTTAGGTAAAATTATAAAATAATCCTCTTATAATAATTCTATAAATTGCCTTCATGTTTTAATCCTAACAAAGGCCTCCCATATAGTTTTGAGAAAATAAGAGCAAATAACTCCTTTCCCTTGGCTTTTCAATAACAATGACATTGAAATTACCAAAATACCCTTATTATTGTTAATGCATTATCATACACAATTTAAAGTTTCAACTTCACCCTCCACTAAACTATTTTGCCAAACAACTTTCAAATAATAATTCTCCTTACTTTTCTTGGACAAAGTAAGGTAAAAACGTTGAAGTGAATTAAAACTAATGCATTACATCATTTTTTTTTACTTGGAATGCCCACAAAAGAAAGGTATTTGTAGCTTTTTTCAAAACATAAGGGAAGGCTTTTGTTAGGTCAACACACTAGGAGTTTCATAAAATTGTTAGAAAACCCAAGGAAGATTTTATAACTTTCCTTATTTTAAAATGGAATTTAAATTGATTTCAGGATAATCAAACTATACTTGAAATTGGTATTTCTTAGTAATTTTTGAAATTAGTAAAAATTGAATTAATTAAGTATATTAAGTTTTACAAAATTTATATTCCTTATGAAATTTAATTAACTATATAAATTTTTATTTTTTAGTGGGACTTGAGTTTTTTTTTTTAATTAGTAAAATTTAATTATAAAGATAATAATTGTTAGATAATTTTTTATTAGTTTTATATTAATTTTAAATTAATATTATTTTTTAATTTATCTTATTCCTTTGATTAATTAAATTCTTTTTACTATATTAATAAAATCATTTTTAGCAATAACAATAAATAATAATTATTTTTATTTTATTTAAGGAACTTACTAAATTATTTTTATTATGATTAATAATTTTTACTATTTTAAATGGTAAATAAATATATTATAATTTTAAATGGAAGTAGATGATTTAGTGCAATAATATATCATTGAATATCTCAATTTTAGTATAATTGATCTTTACTAATAATTACAGTTTAATGCAAATATATCTAATGTATATAAAACAATAGTTAAATTGAAATGTATATAGATATAGATAAAATTAATGAATTTTATGCAATTGAATGGAGTATTGGAGGTGAGACAATTAGTAGCATGCATTATTGAAGGAAAGAGTTAATGGCATAATTAATGAGAAGAGATTATTGAAAGAGTTAGTGGGAAAAAGGAGAGAGAGAGAGAGAGAGAGAGAGAGAGAGAGAGGTAAATGCCTTTCGAAATTAAAATATTCAATGGTGAGTTAATGAAGAGTATTAAAACTCTTAAAGTTGATTGGTCACTTAGTTATTTTGTTTAACTTTGAAATTAAAATATTCAAAAAAACCAAAAGAAAAGATAAACGCCTTTGAGAAGAAATTGAAAAAAATAATAAATGCATTTGAGAATAAATCAGAAAGAAGGAAAGTGCTAGCTTGGAATGTTCCATTTTAACATATAGACATAAATAAGCATAAGATGACATGACATGGGAATCTATATTAAAATGCATTGCCAAGCTAGAACTTTCTTGCTCTATGGTTTATTCTCAAAGCCACTTATCTCTTTTTTGGTTTCTTTTCAAAGGCATCCATCTTTTTTTTCAGTTCTTTTTTGAATTTTTTAATTTTAAAATTGAACAAAATAACTCAAGTGACAATCACCTGTAAGAGTTTTAATACTCCTTATTAAACAACCATTAACTCTCTCTCTCACACACATCTTTCCTATTAACTCTTTTAAGGGAAATTATCTAAAACTCACCATGAGTTTTCTGCATTTCTCTTAAACTCACCACAACTTTTCAAAACGTCTAAAACTAACCATGTCATTAAGTTTTTATTTACCAAAACTCACCTTCCGTTAGTGCACCGTTAATGTTTCTTAATAGAGGTGTCCATGTCAGCATAAAAAAAAAATTTATAACTAAATCACCCTTGAATGGTGAGTTAGAGGAAAAGGGTCTTTTTAATTTTTCAATTTTCTTTTTTTACATTTTAGTGTTTTGTTATAACTTCTAATGCTTTTTTATAATTTTTATTTTTTTACATTTTTCTATTTTCTACAATCTATAAAATTTCTTGTATTTTTTGTTATTTATTTGCAATTTCTATGTTTTTCTATAATTTTTTGTGCTTTTTCTACAATTTTTATTTTCTGATTTTGTTTTTCAATTTCTATAGTTTCTATACTTTGAAAATAATTTTTTATTTTGTGTGTAACTTCTATAATTTTTTATATTTTTTGCAATTTCTATGTTTTTATGTATTTTATATTTGAAAGTATTTTTGAACTCCTTTCCTTTTTTTCATATCTAAATATTAAAATATATGTATATATTTTATATTTTCTATGAAGGTTAAAATGGTAATATATTAACAGCCATTAGTCTCTTTAACGTCAAGTTAGTGACATGGTGAGTTTTAGAAATTTTGAAAAGTTGTGGTCAGTTTAAGAGCAATGCTGAAAACTCATGGTGAGTTTTTGACAATTTCATCCCCTCTTTTAATAATCTCTCTGTATTAATTATGCCATTAACTCTCTCCTCGAATAACTTACCCCACTAATTCTCCCTCATCTCCATTACTCCATTAAATTGCATAAAATTAATTAACTTTATACCTATATCCATTTCAGTTTAGCTATATATGTATAATAGATATATTTGCATTAAACTGTAATTATGAGTAAGGATTACTTATATTGAAATTGAGATATTCAAGGATATATTATTGCGCTAAATAATCTACTTCTATTTAAAATTATAATCCATTTATATTCCATTTGAAAATAATAAAAATTAATAAACTGTAGAAATCATTTAGTAAGTTACTTAAAATAAAAATAATTATTAATTTTTATTAATATAATAAAAAGAATTTAATTAATCAAAGGAATAAGATAAAATAAAAATGAATATTAATTTAAAATTAATACAAAATTATCTAAAAATTATTAGTTTTATAATTAAATTTTATTAATTTAAAACCAATTTAAGTTCCACTATATAAGAAACTAAAATTTTATAGTTAATTAAATTTCAAAAGGAAATTAAATTTAATTAAAACCTTATATACTTAAATAAATTCAATTTTTACTAATTTCAAAATGATAAATACCTCCTTGGGTTTTCTAACTATCCTATGAAACTCCCCAATGTTTTGACCTTAACGAAAACCTCCCCTATTATTTTGAGAAAATGTGCAAATACCTTCCTTTAGTGAGCATTTCAAATAAAGTGCAACTTAGATTGCATTTGGATAAATTAATAAAAATTAATTTATTAATAATAAATCAATAAAAGTTAATAAAAATTCTTTTACAAAAAAAATAAAAATTAACATTAAAATACAAAAAATATATAAGAAATTGGCCACTCTCACTAAAGTGCAACTTAGATTGCATTCGGATAAATTAGACAACCTCAAAAAAAAAATAGTTAATTGAACTTGATGAACACCATTTAATTGAAAATGTAATAAAGCTCCATCTTCAATTTAACTGATAAATAATGCCTGTGCGTATAGAATAAAATTTTAAACTAGAGTGCAGTGGGCTTTGCAAATCTACTCGAGTTGATGATCTGGGTTTTCAAATTGCAAATAATTTGTGCCATTAATTTTAGTATTTCAATTGGAGATATTCCTAATACACGGTTACGACAAATGTGAACTCATTTCAAATTAAAGATGTTAACTTTCTGGAAAAATGTTCATTAGAGGTCAAGATATACCAGCTGGCCACTTGGTATTTGCTTTCATAGCTGCCCTTCGTTGTAAAGCAAGTCAATTGCAGACCGCTGTGCAGCGGTTCGTAATACAATAATAACCCACGTTCTCATCAGAGTATAGACGATGTGGTCTCTCCCAGCTTTTTCGTCTCACTTTACTTATAATAATGAATGCACTACCCTATATAATAATGATAAGCTAATGAGACATTATGGACTAATTGCCATGTCTCCCTCGCAAGACTCCCAAAAAGCTTTTTGTGTACAGAGAGTAGTTGAAAAGTTCCTCACAGGAATGGGTCAGACTTGATGGCCTTAAAAGTAATCATCTTATAGCAGAGTTCATTTGTTTTTTTTTTTTGCTAAAATTGAAAATTATAACTTTTTTTATTGATTTTTTGAATGGCTACACAACGGGGCCCATAATCCCCAATCCAGGTGCAGGCAGGTACTTTACAAGAGATCTTACCGATCTTACCAGTCAACTGGTTGGTACTTTACAAAAAATTCTTAGCCCCAACATGTATTACAGTGACCCAAGATTAACTTCATGTAACTCAAGGAGAAATAATGACAACAACAGATAAAAAGATTTTAAGGGATGTTTAGTATTGTTTAATGGTTAGGTGCCATTAAGCGCCACATAAATAAAATTATAATTAAATATTTTTATGTTTGGAGAAAATATTAAAATGAAGCTTTTCCAATAATTGATTCACAAATAAATCAAGACAAACATTTATTTGATGAATAGTCTTAACAAATTACGTTTCAGGATAGACACCATCTTAATTAATTGTTTCAGCGCAGCTAACTTCGCATAGCAAATTAATGTGGTTTGACTAGTTCAGTCTTCACCAACCAACTCGTTTGTCTTCTTAATTAGTAAGTGATATGGTCTTCGGTGGCTAGAATTCTCTCTTTATCCTATACATGGTTTTCTTTGAAGCTGGGCTTAAAGCAGCAGTCTCAAGTCTCTCAATTATTCTTCTTTCCTTTCCTTGTCAGAGGGTTTCGTTTCAAAGTTTGCAGCCTACCAATGGGGAGACTCTTTTGCTCTCCTCTTACTATAAATTCACGAGCTTCCTCTATCTGCTGCATATCCCACAACCAAAACAACATGGCTTCGACCCATAATGCAGAACCCTTGGTCCAAGGCAAAGAAGAAGAAAATTATGTCTTGGCCATGCAATTGGCCAATGCTTCTGTGTTTCCCATGGTCTTGAGAGCAGCTGTAGAGCTTGGCGTGCTTGAGATTATAGCCTCAGCTGGTCCTGATGCATGTCTCTCGTCTTTGGATATCGCCTCAAACCTGCAAACTCAAAACCTGGAAGCACCAATCATGCTCGAACGTATGCTTCGTCTCCTTGCCAGTTGTTCTATTCTAACATGCTCTCTCATTAAACAAGACAATGGTGAAGTAGAAAAGCATTATGGTTTAGCGCCCATAGGCAAATTATTCACCAGGAACCAGGATGGAGCCTCGGTGGCCTCTTTGCTTCTACTGATTCAGGACAAGGTTTTCATGGATAGTTGGTATGACATCTCTACCTCTTACGCAGTTCATCATGCATATTGTATGTAGTATACGAAGAATTGAATGATTTTCTGAAAATTCTTATTGTACAGTATTTGGTTGCATGCATAATATATGCTCGTAAAATCAACATTTTTCAAACAGTTATTTTTCATTCATTTTCTTTATAGAACTTGGTCCCGCGTTTTGATTTTTTTTAGGAACCAGCAGAAAAGGAAGTTTTCATTAATGTGCCCGCCGGAATACAGACAAAGTAATTAAAATCAGTGAGAGCAGTCAATGAAATTGACGGGAAAAAACAGTTAAATAAACATGTCATCAACCGTGAAGTAAAGCCTTCAACAGTGAAATAAAAACAAGGAGAAATATCTACTTGTATTTATGAATGTACTAGAAGGGATCGGCATGATGCTCCATAGTGTTTAAATTCAGTTTTTTCTTTTTAAAAAGGAAACTGAATTAATTAGTTTAGAAAGAGATAAAAAGCCTCATTGCTTAAGTTTTCCATTTTTCAAACATTTAAAAATGCCATATAATTTAGAGGAGTCAGGAAGAGGACAGAGGAGTTGTAATGCAGATCTCTTATATATTTATAAGTGTTAGGGATGCCTCCTATTTTATAATGTAATTATCAAATTCATCAGTTTTATATTAAAAAAGGAACTGAATCTGTTATGGGTGAGTTTAAGTGGCCCCATATTTGATATTTTTGTATTTTTTCCAAATTTCGAAAAGCCCAAAATATATAAAAATATATGTTAATAAGAGATCATAGAAGAGTTGTCATGTGTGTAGCTCCATTATTAATGGTAGATGTAAAGGGGCCACCTATGTTAATTATATATATAATGCAATTTTCAAGGTCAACAACCCCTCTAGCCACTCTCCTAGTGGAAAGAAACTAGGAATTCAATTGTAATTAATAGAAATATCTATTCATTATCTCTACATTTAATTTTGTATTAATACAATTGTAAATCTTATTTAATATAAAAAAATAATTACAATTATTGATATAAAATTAGATGTCTAATTATATATATATTAAAAATAAATAATAAAAAAATTTATTATGTTGGCTCACTCCTAGTCAAAATATTTGTTAGTTCTTCCAAAATTTAATTATATATTAATGCAACACTCAATTAAAGGATTAATGTCTAGGGGTGTCAATGGACAGAGTTTGGGTTGGACCCATTTGAATCAAAATCAATTTCAACGGATTGGACAGCCCAATCGAACATTGGATTGGATCAGTCCATACTTAATGGTCCAAAGTATTTATTGGATTCAATTGGATTTGGTCTATCTATAATGGATTTATATTATATTAGGTCAAATTTAACCAATATCTGGTCCATTAATAGAAGATAAGAGTAGAAGTGTCAATAAACCAGTTTTGGGTTTGACTGAATTTGAATTAAAACCAATTTGAACAGGTTGGTTGGCCCAATAAGACATTAAATTAGACTAGTCCAGTCCAAAATATTTATCAGATTGGATTGAACTTGATCCATTTGTAATGGATTCATATTGGACCAGAGTGGGTTGGAACAATATCCAGTCCATTGATAACCCTAGGTGTCTATAAAAAAATATAAACTATGAAGTGTTTTATTACATACACTACGAAGATCAATTCAAATAAATGATTAACATAGCATTAATCTATATTACGTAAGAAAAAAGATTGGGCCCACGTTAGCATTTATCCATCTTATCCTTTGATAGGTCATCAAATAGTTCAACCATCTGGGCTTGTGACATCAGAAATAATATAATAAAATTATAAAAATATAAAAACATGAAAAAGTACAGAAATAAATTGTAGAAAAATTGGCCAAGTCTTTAGGGCTGTAATTGGGTGAAAGTCAAATTGGATCTAGCACATCTAAATCCGACTCAATTATTGTAACTTTAAATTCGAACCAAATCCAAAATCTGATTTATCAAACTCGGATCCATTCTATTGTACTAAAAACAAAAATAAAATAAGATAAGAGGTTTTAAAAAAGTTAAATTAGCTTTTAACTTATATATATGTATATATAATTTTATATAAATATTAAATATTGAATTTAATAATTATAAACTTTTTGTGCTTATATATGGTATCTATATTTACAAAGTTATATTACATGCATACATACAAAAACTTATATAAAGGTGGACTATTTATAGTATTCTATATTCATCATATATTTTGACAATCAGGATTTTATTGTTAATGATGGAAGTGGTTAAAACACAAAAAAAAAAAGAAAAACAAAGTGATTTAATGTCTAACCTATGACCAATTGATTAAGGGCCCGTTTGTCATGTTTTTCCGCAGGGTCTTTCAGCTGTTTACAAGTTGGAAAGACCGATTTTCAGTCTATTCCCATTTGGCTCGTGGAAGATCTAGCCACCAAAAGACAGTGCCAAAAAGATGCGAGAAGCCCATTTCGGGCTGATTTCAAGATGCTTCAAATGAAACTTCTTGCGTCTTTTGCATTTTAATCTCGTGCGGAAAAACGTGCATCTGCCAAACGTGCTTTGGACAACTCAGATCTTCATACAAAAGCCCAATACGTCTTTTGCATGTTAGAACTACCAGAAAATCTTCCCAAAAGGACACTCCAAAGAAGCCCTAAGTCAAAAGGTTTGATGGTTTAACTAGATGGATCAAATAGGTCATTAAAAGATATGGTTATTCGTGTTTGATATCTACTCTAATTGGTTTTATATTTTGAGAAATAGCCTATGAATTATCAATTAGGGGCTCCTCTTGAAATAAGTAAATATTTTCTGTTTGAAGATAAAAATTATGCTCTATTACCAAATAAAAATGTTATCTAATCCAGGTGTACTACCGACATTTATTATGCATCTTGTTCCTAGAGGATTTAGACTTCTCCTAGACCACATTCTCTCACAGAATGTGAGATATATATAACTACATATAAACTGGGAAACTGTCTAAAATTCATCACGACTTTTCAGCATTTTTTTTTAAATTCATCATAATTTTTCAAAACGTTCAGGGAACACCATTTCAGTAACTTGACATTAAACAGATTAATGAGTGTTAATAGTTTACTATTTTACCCTTTGTTATATTCGACACATTTTTCAATGTTTTAGAAAAATCCTTGTTTTTATTCTACCCAAAGCCCATTTTTCAGCTACCTTGGAATACTTTCAAGCAGCAAAATGAGAACAAAATGTCTTTCAACAAGTTGAAATCATATATATAAGGCAGTTGGGCACTTAAGGGCATTTTAGTCATAAAAATGTTTAATAAGGCTGACTTCAGGGGCAGTTTGGACATGAAAATTGCATTTATGCTGACATGGACAACTTTTGTCAATGAACATTAATAGTGCTCTAACGAATGGTGAGTTTTGGAAAACAAAAACATACAAACATGGGATTCCCTAAACGCTTTGAAATGTTATGGTGAATTTAAGAGAAATGCTGAAAGGTCCTGATGAGTTTTAGACAATTTCCCTAAATACAATTTCTACTTTCAAAAGTTTTGAAAAGGGAAAGCCCACCAACCGAAAATAACATGTCTTTTTGTTCCCCTATGCCTTTCTTGCAACCTGTTACACAATTTTAGACAAATGGAAATTCTTCATTATTTGTGCAAAAATTGTGTAAAAGGATCTCATAATAATTTTTGTTTCTTGTAGGTATCATTTGAAGGATGCTGTTCTTCAAGGTGGAATTCCTTTTAATAAAGCCCATGGGATGTCGGCATTTGAATACCCCGGGATAGATTCTCGATTCAACAAAGTTTTTAATAAGGCAATGTCAGATATGACAGTCATACTCATGAAGAAGGTTCTTGAAACATACAAGGGCTTTGAAGGTCTCAAAGAGGTGGTTGATGTTGGAGGTGGGATTGGAGTTACACTTAACATGATCACATCTAAGTATCCTCAAATTAAGGGTATTAATTTCGATTTGCCTCATGTTATAGCAAATGCACCATCATATCCTGGTATGACTTATTTTTTCCTTATTATTATTATTATTATTATTATCATTGTTGTTGTTGTTGTTTTTAGTGAAATTAAAATTAATTATTTATATTTTTAAATTTTTTTATAAAATTTTATTTATTTGGCAGGTGTGGAACATGTTGGAGGAGATATGTTCGAAAATGTCCCACAAGGAGATGCCATTTTTATGAAGGTAGATTCCTTTTTCCTTCAAATAATTTCTCATCAGTATTTTAGGGACCCAACCTCATATATGATGGGTCAACTTTACATAAACTATAAAAGATAAGTTGGTTTCTGAAAAGTCAATTTTATAATTCATTTCCAAGGTTCAAAATAACGTTATGTATCGGCCTGTATTGGGGCCTTCCCGAGGCCATGGTTCAGAGGGTAGTTGGGACTTAAACTTACACCTTTAAATCGGTTTTGAAAAAAAAAAATAAAACATAAAAAAGCACTGATACGCCGGACATATCTAAAATATTTAGAAACTTGTTCATTTCACATAAGTGGGATAATTCTAAAAGTCAAATGTACATTTTTGTATGCCATATTCACATACTAATTCCCTATGATATACTAATTGTTTTCTTACGATTTATAATTGGATTTTGTATAACCTGGAAGTATTTTTAATTGATTTGTTGTTTCTATACAAAAAGAAATTTGGATAGTAGATTGACTTTTCAATTGGAATCAAAAGGATAAGATTTCGATTATTCAATTTACTAAAGATTTTCTTCTCCTTTCTGAACATTTGTAGCTCATACTTCATGATTGGAGTGATGAACATTGTTTAAAGCTATTAAAGAACTGTTGGAAAGCTCTTCCAGAGTCTGGAAAGATTATCATTGTGGATTTGATCCTTCCGGAGGCTCCTGGGATTAGTATGTTCTCTGATGCTGTCTTCCTGGCAGATTTAGTAATGTTGGCTCAAAATCCAGGTGGAAAAGAGAGGACATTTAAAGAGTTTGAGGACCTGGCACTGCGCTCTGCATTTTCTAGTTGTAAAATGATTTGTAGGGTTTATAATTATTGTGTTATGGAGTTCCACAAATGATAAATAAGATTGTTACTTCTTTTTTCTTATTTTAAGGAAATCTTGTGTTGTTGATTATTATTTGTTGTTCTTAGTAAGGATGAAAACTACATATTCCCATCCAAAAGTCCGAATATTTCATTATGTATCAAATAACCAGTTCATTAAAGTGAAAACATTAACTCAAATCGTTTCTAATTAAAATAATAAAGAAAACAACATATGTGTTTTGTGGCGAATTAGGTCATTGATGTTGTTCTAGTAGTTGTAATCATTCAATGAATAACAACTCCTCTAGAATGATGTGTCACAGGATACTTGTAATAGAAATGTTAATAACCTGAATTTTTTTCTTTTTGGTGTCTGTGTAATGAAAAGAAATAAGGTGAAAGAACTAAAAGAACCGGGGAGGTTACAGCAGAGGTGGTAGAGGTAGATGGACCCTCTTTTTGGTTGTTTTGATTGTGCCTTGTTTTAGCTTTTCGGTTTGTTTCTTGTGGGTATTTGGGCTTGGTTTTGATGGGCTGGGCATGTTTTGTTGGCCTTGCTTTCTTGCTTCCGTTTTAAAGTTCTTGTTGGCTCTTGGGCGGGTTTTTTGTTGCCTTGAGTTTGGGTGTTGGGGTAGTTGAGGTGCTGTGGGCCCTTCTATTCTGTATCTCTTTTCTCCTTTTTTTTCTTTTATAAATTTTATTTTATTTTATTATCAAGAAAAATGAATACGAGGTGTCAATTGGATGAATTTGGTCCAATCCGGTCCAGTCCAATGTGAGTCCACTTATAAATGGATTGGACCCATTCTAGTTCAAATCCAATACAAATCAAATCCAATTCAATCCATTAAAATGTAAATGGATTGGATTAGATCCAATCCAATCCGAATGAAATATCAAAAATTATATAAAAGCACTTTTAGCATTGAAAAAACACTTTTGTAAAAGTATTTTGATAAAAATATTTTCATAAAAATGCTTTTACAAAAGCACTTTATTGAAAGTACTTCGTAAAAGTGCTTTTGTAAAAGTACTTTTGTAAAAGCACCTTACGAAAAGTACTTCCATAGACATTTATAAAAGTACCTTTGTAAAAGTACATTTGTAAAAGTACTTTTATAAAAGTACTTTCGTAAAAATGCTTTCATAAAAGTACTTTTATAAAAGTACATTCGTAAAAGTGCTTTCATAAAAGTACTTCCGTAGAAGTGTTTTTATGAAAGTACTTTCGTAGAAATGTTTTTATAGAAGTACTTTCATAAAGTACTTTGGAAAAGTGCTTTTGTAAAAGTACTTTCATAAACATACTTTTATAAAAGCACTTTTCGAAAATTACTTCCATAGACTTTTATAGAAGTACTTTTGTAGAAGTGCTTTTGTAAAGTATTTTTATAAAAGTACTTTTGTAAATGTACTTTTATAAAAGTACTTTTATACTTTTGTAAAAGTGCTTTCGTAAAAGTTCTTTCATAAAAGTGATTTTCTAAAAGTGCTTCCACAAAAGTGCTTTCGTAAAAGTGCTTTTATAAAAGTACTTCCGTAAAAATTTTTTTGCAAAAGTGATTTCATAAGTGTTTTCGTGTAAAAGTACTTTTATAAAAGTGCTTCCATAAAAGTATTTTTGTAAAATTGCTTTCGTAAATGTACTTTTGTAAAAGTGCATTTATTAAAGTAATTTTGTAGAAGTGCTTTTATAAAACTTCTGTAAAATTTCTTTCACAAAAGTACTTTTGTAAAAATGCTTTTGTAAAAGTATTTTTATAAAAGTGCTTTCGTAAAAATACTTTTCCGTAAAAGTACTTTTATAAAAGTGCTTTTATAAAAATGTTTTTGTAAAAATGCTTCCGTAAAAGTACTTTCATAAAAGTGATTTTATGTTGTTTTCAGTTTTGATTGATTTCAAATTGGACAAGGGTTTGGTCTCATGATCGGATTATTGGAAATTTGGTTTAGGTCTAATTCAAACCAATAAGAATATGGACCAATTTATTTTGGATTGGTCCAATCCAATAATTATAATGGACCATCCAAATCCGATTTGATAAGGTTTGGATCGGATTGGATCCAAACCAAAATCGATCGATTGACACCCTACCTGTAATAGGTGGTTCTTGTCTATTAGATCAAGTTATGATTGGATGTTGACACGATTGGCCATTGGTTAGGGTCCTCATTTTTGTTGTTTCTAGATAAATATATTTCATTGACCCAAATATATGCTTGATAGTAAGGCGAGTCCGATCCCAGATACAATATTTTGAAAAATTTCAAGAAAATTATCAAAAAAGAAATGAATTTATTAGTTCCTATGGCAACTAAAGATAGTGCATACTTTTATTTTCCTCATTTCTAAAGTTTTGCCTAGTGTTTTCAGCCTGCTATTGATTTGGCCGGTTGAACCATTGTCACTTGGTTAAGATTTTGGGTCTGATTCGAATGAAATTTGGAGAAATATTAAAAAATGTTGACTTTTTCAAAAACTGTCTGATCCGAACAGTTGGACCATGTCCAGAAGCGTGTCGTTAAGCACTTCAGAGCACCAATTTAATATTTATAATTTTATTCTGATTCTTAAACAACTACTAACGTAGTAAAGTGATGAGAACGGGTCATATCCATAGGGAAGCGAGGGAAAATTAATTAATAAAAAAAATATAAAATTAATTAATAAAAAAATGGAATTCATTAAAACCAAATTCGAATAGTATTGAGAATAACAAGTGCATACAAATAAATAGCAGAAACAGATATATAAAAGGAACGAAATAAAAATGTCTGAGAATCCGATCAGAGGTAGTAGTCTCCGGATCTCTCCTTTGACCCTCGAACATCTCGAGCTAGGCCTTCCGTCTTACCTAGCCGAATTTTAGATCTGCAGAAAAGAAATAAAACACAAATTAAATCTAATAAAAATAAATTTGCAGGAAGGAAAAATTAAACTAGAAATTAAAGAACAGAAAATAATTCTAAAACTGAAGAAAAAATGGTTGGGATTCAAATCCAAAGATGGCAGTAGTGGTGTTGGCGAACTGCAAGTAGGAACCCCTCCTCTTGCTTGGGCATCCTCCTCTTCCTCTACCATTGAGCTTCTCAATATCAGCCTTCCTTCTTACCTGGGTGAATTGACCAACCCCTAGGATTTTAGCAAAAATATGGGTGCCCTAGGGTTTAGAATGAATGGTTAGGATGGTTCTAGGGTAATCCTAAGGCTGAGAAGAAAAAGGAGAAGGCACCCAATATTATGTAAGGCTGAGATTTAATAGCTAAAGGCTGGATGGTGAACATTAGAAGTTAGGTGGCTCCTAGGGTTAGAATGCTAAAAAGAAAGTGCCTTAGAATGGATGGTGGAGATTAGAAGGGATGGAAGGTGAGGATTTAGCAGATAGGGGCTGCTAGGGTTTGTTAAGAGTGAAAAGAATGGGTTAAAAGGCATCCTAGGGTTTGCTAAGGCGTGGGGAGCATGCTAATATAGTAGGAGGGGCGCCAAACTAGGTTTATCGGTTAGGAGGCACCCTCCTGCTTTCAATTTTTCACAAAAACACCCCCTCTCTCAACTAGACTTCACACCAGCTTCCTAAAATCTGCATTTCAGCCATGAAAATTTCCTAGTTTTCCCTAAAATTTGCATAGAGACCCTTAGAGGCCACAACATTGCATTTAACTGGGAAAAGGCACATCTTGACTATTCTAAGGCCGAAAATACCCCTGAATTGATGCCATTAAGGCATCAAAAGGCAGAGTTATCACACTCTCCAACTTAAACATTGCTAGTCCCTTAGCAATGCAGCCTTAAAATTAAACTGAGCATAGAGATCCTTCCCATCTCAAGATCATCCCTGACAGAATTAGTCAAGTATCCTGATTCCAACATTCTCAAACTCTGTATAGATCAATATTGGGCTTTAGGGGTAAAACTATCTTACTTTGAATATTACAGAAACTTGGCTTAAAAAAATCTTATATACCCTTCCATTTGTAGACTGTCTTGATAAGCTGAAATTGATTTTTAAAATCAGACATGTATTCTTCTTATCATTTTTTTGATAGTGGATTTCTACCCCTGAAATTGATTTTACTTCTATTGTTACCTTCCCCCATTTGATGCGAATCTCGACACTTGCCTTAGGTAAAGAGACCCGGTTACTAAGTGGTAGGTGATTGTCTTTGGCATTCCCTTTTCGTTTGATGCGAATTTCGACACTTGGCTTAGGTGAAGAGACCTGGTTACTAAGTCTATGGTGTCCATTGACCTTTTATTCTCTTTTTTTTTTATTTTTTTTGCAACATTGTTCAGGGTAGTCCACTACTAACAATTTGAAGAATTTTTTTCTAATTTCTCAATCTTTCTTTTCTTATCTTGGCAGGGGCAAACTATGGAGTATCTTCCAATTTCAAAACGGTTTTGACAATATTCAAATAAGACCAATTTTGACTCTTATCACTTGCTACCAATTTCTACAAAATTCAATATTCTTTTATTAGTTTCCTCAACTTTTTCTGTTTGGGAATCTCTTTTAATGGAAGAATTTAAAAATTTCTTAGTAAAATTTTAATTCTACACATTTAAAGACTTAGCTTTTAATTTTTTTTTCAATTTTTCTTTTTCTTTCTTTCCTCAACCTCAACTTAAATGCCATTGTCCCTAATGGCATGACTAGAATGATGCAAAGAAGATTTGGGCCAAAGGGAACAACAAGTAGGATTTTCCTAAGGGGTTCAAGGTCTGCCACCTAGTCTCAAATCAAGAAAAGAAAAACAAATTCTAAAAGCAAAAACACTAAAAACTACGTTGGGTTGCCTCCCAACCAACGCTAAGTTTAACGTCTTTAGCTGGACACATTCACGCACTGTTCCCATCTATACTCCCCGACTCACTTTCATCTTTCGACAGATAGAGTTTAGATTGGGCTAACCACGGGGTAGGTAGGGCATCTAAAAGATCATCCACTATATCCACCTTGCACTCATCTTCCCCTAGGTTTGGATACTTAGAGGCACTAAAAATGTTTAACCGGACTTTCTGCTCCCCTAATGAAATGTCCATTTCTCCTGATTTACAA